CCGAGGGGCGAGCAGCAGCGCCGGGAAGATCGACAGCAGCGACTGCAGTCAGCCAAGGCGGTGTGGAGCGCGAAAAAAGCGCCGTCGGCCAAAGATCTCTCTGCGGAGGCCATGCAACGCATCGCTCAAAAAGCCTGGCACCGGTGCCACGCAGGGTCTTTGGGCCTTGCGGGCGAGGGATATTTGGAAAGAGAAAGGGAAGGACATGGGGGGGTGAAAGAGGTGGAGGCGTGTCTGTTGTGCGAGGAGAGTTTCAATACCTTAGCTCGCCGGCAGCACCGGTGTCGTTTATGCGCGCTACCTGTATGCGGGGATTGTTCGAGCAAGCGACTTCCTCTGGGTGCCTATTTAGGGGGAGGAGGGAGGGAGGGAGGGAAAGGGGGAGGAGTCGAAACGATGGTTCGTGTCTGCGACGGTTGCTTCAATTGGGGCGTCTACGAGATGCTGAAGCTGCGTGTATCAGTGGGGGGGGAGCGTGTGCACGACAGAAAGGAGGCCAAATTTGTGGAGGCGGGAGCCAGGGAACGGGCGGAAGAACGAGAACTATTCGGGCAAAGTCGAGAAAAATCGGGGGGCCGAGGTGGGTTGATGAACTGGCTCCGAAAAGAGGCTAATCCTGCGGGACAGGCGAGTCGGCGGGCGACACAAGGCGTGATGGCGGCGATGGGGGAGTTGCGACACGGGCTTCAGGATCGAGGGGAGCGACTCGAGAGCCTCGCGGATAAGACTACGGAACTGGCGGATAGCTCCGCCCAATTTGCGGAGATGGCCAAGCAGTTGAATGAGCGGTATGGGGGTGGAGGAGGATGGTGGTGAGAGGGTGGGATAGGTGGCGAGAGTGGAAGAAACGTCCTCAGGAAAAAGTTGAGTGGGATCTGCCGGCGCGTCGGTGGCTGTAAATAAATTCAACGACGGAATGGTTTGTGGAATGTGAGAACTTCTTTCGGGTGCACTCGTTATGTTGTGGAAGGGATCCTTCTCCATGCTATGATGTCTTTTCACAAGTTGACTTTTGCTGGTAGATTTTACTATTGCTCAGACATTGTACGTCTTATTACAGCCTCTTCACTAGAGCAACGGCAACTCTAGTAAGAGATGAAGCTTTCCCCCGCTCTATCAACACTTTCTTCCTAACTCTAAACCCTTCCATATGCACATTATGTCTTTCTGCATTTTCTTCTTACTGAGTCCCAAGGCCTGTACATTGTTATCTCCTGCTTTATTTACATGCATCAAATCTTGCATTTCATAGACATTTTCAGTCCTCCCCAGATACCACATGCATTAATAGAGTAAAGCATCTAAGGATGTCTTCGTGCGATGCATTTTCCAGTCTTACTTACTTATGGCTGATTGCACTCAAAAAAATATTCCAACAAAATCCGACGGCATTGCTGTACAAGACCTGGTAGTGCTGAGGGACAAAGCGGAAGTTGACCATCATGGCCGGTATCCACACCGCCCAATTTGCGATCAGGGTCTCCTTGTAGTCTCTCTTCAACTTACGCCGGAGCTGGTCCATGTCGAAATTTCCATCCAAGAATTGTAGACCTGAGAAGAAGACAGGGATGAAAGCGGGGGCAAATATGCACTGATCGACAGCCAAACGCTTGAGAGCGCCAGAAGTATTTTGAACAGGGGCTAGCCGAATAAGGAACGAATACCAGTGGTGCAGAGCGGGCCCGACAAGGACACCTCCCAGCAGGAAAAATTTAGCGGTGCGGTACCAGTCGTAAGGAAGAGTGGGAGTGGGAGACGAACGTGCCACATTCGGGAGGTCTGTAGCACGTTCTTGCTGCTTTTCATATCGGGTGAGAAACTGGCACGCCACGTCGCCCGCGCCCATGATGAAAGAGGAGGTGAGGAGCTTTGTTTTCACTGGATGGTCTTTCAACCAGCGGCTATAGATAGCCCAGGGTGAGAGGAATGGTGATGAAGTGGCCTCGGTAGATTTGACAATTTTCCTGGTGGTGTTACAGTTGCTTGGAGCAGTTAGGAGACGACTCGGCAGTCGTGTGGTCCCGCAAGTCCTCTTGAACCAATCCCCGCGCGCAGACAAAAAGAACAATTTGTTTGTGTACTTCATGCTTAAATATTGCTGCCGTGTAGTCGAATCTCTTAAGACTCAGATGCAGGTTTTCGACGGTTGCAGGTCAGCACCTCCCAAAGCCGCACGGACCACACACCCTATTCTTGCCCACCAGCAGGTATATTCTATGTCTTAAATCTGAAATTCGGGGGAAATGAGTTCATCAATACCTCATCTTGTACATATCATGACCATTTTCTCATGCCTCATCAACGCGCGCAGGTACGCAGTGTCGCGCAGTTTTTTCTTATTGGTGTCATTCTAGGCGTGTGGATGTCGCTGAAAAACCTCCCGTCACCCGGAAGACTGACCATGACTTGGTGTTTCTAGTGTAAAATACACTGCGCTCAAGCGTTGCCCGGAACCAATATCCTTCATGCGTCCATAGCGATTCATTAACATATCGCGCTGGTCGTGTGTTGGCTCGATTTTTCCTCAGACTGTGGACGTTGAAGTCCTCAGCGACTAGTGCTGGAATGGCTTGAACGAGACCCGTATCGGCTGTTTTCATAACGTACCCTGGACGTCGACAACGCAGTAAAACTAGACTGCATGGTTTGTCGTCAATCATGACACTTCTACGCTACCGTTTGTGCGTCGTTTTCTTCGCGTCCCACATTCACAACTCCCTATCTGATGTAAACTAGCGGATGTTCCTGGCAGTGTGCTTCCGGGTGTTATTGTCCTTCATCTCACGCTACGAGTTCAGGCCCAGCTTGCTCACCATCGTGCAAACCAACTCTAAAACAGGCCATGATGGCTTGTAAAGCTCTTGTTATTGGCTTCCTAGGCATCGCAAACGAAGTCACCGCCATTTCCTCCACTGTATCCGGTTTCTGCTTTCGGCGTGCGTTCTTCACGACACGACGCGCGTCATCATTCAGTGCTGCCGCTCGCATGACCACTCAAAATCACCCACGCGCATTATTCTTGAACCCTGAGAATCAGCACGCAG